TTGTGTGCCTACTGTGTGCCAGGCCCCGGGCCGGTGCCAAGTCTCTAAGAGGGACTCTCAGGTAGAATGATGGAGGGGAAGGGCGCCTGTATTTGTAACAGAGCCGAACTCGCCTTCCAGAAGCTGCTTAAATCGTACCCCCGCCAACAGCATGTGAGGCTGTCCACGTCCCCCCTCCCCAACACTGGGCATTACTGATCTTTCTCATTTTTACACAGAGCCGATCAGCCAAAATACAAGCATCTCCGTTTAACTCGTTATTTCCCGGATGGCCACAGCTGTCGGTGCCACCTCGCACGTCTCCTCGAGCAGCCAGCTTTTGTTTCTGGCACTGGGAAGGTGAGGGTTGGGACGATGACTTGGCCGGGGCTGGTCCAGGGGGAGTTCTTTGGGGCCGGGCAGCCCCCCCGCCAACTTCCTCCCACCCCAAAGCCTGGAAACAAGGACTTCCCTCTCCCACCCACGCCGCCCTCCCCTCCGCCAGAGCCCAGCAGATGGGGGAGGACGCCTTCCGGTCCAGAGAGGAAGCATCGTCCTCAATTGTTCTGCGTAGGGCCCTCGGCTCAGGCCCGGCTGCAGGAAGAGGCCACGTGGTCCCCAGGGCCGCTCCTCCCTGCCCGTCCCCAGACCCGCTGAAGCAGAGCAAGCTTCCTTGGGCAGGTGGCTTCAGTCCCTGAGGAGGTTTCCTCCTCATAAAGTGAGGACCTCGTGAGGTCCCAGGGAGACGGGCAGTGGAGAACGGACAGGGAGCCGGGGAGCTCAGGAGCACCCGCACAGCCCCAGTGTGTCTTGGCCGGGGCCTCAGCTTCCCCACCCCTGCCAGCCCCTTCCCGCCAGCCTCGTAATCCTGCGACAGACGTCACCGCGCGTTCTGGCTGGAACCCTCCCTGGGCTCACGGCCCATGGCTCTCGTGCTGTCGGCGGGCAAGTGCAAGGCGACCCAGGAGGACACCTCCAGTACAGCGGTCTTCATGCGGGGCCGCTGCCGGCCTTGCGGAATTACTAACGGAACGGGCAGTAGTTACGACATTGCCAGCTACCCGATATCGAGGGCACAGGAGGCACCGGGCGCTGCATTATCTCATTTAATCCTCACAACCACCCTGGGAGGGCAGGGCTGTGCTCCCCACTGCAGAGATGGGAACAGTGAGACCCAGAAAGGCTAAGAGACTGGATCGGCCCCAGGTCGCAGCACTAGGGTGTGGCGGAGCCGGTGTCCACACCCTGCTGGACAGGGTGCAGGGAGATGGCGCCATCCACCCAGAGACCCTCTCTCCCAGGCTGCTGTCCTCCTGACCCCCAAATCTCCCCTTGGTGGAACCCTGAGCCAGAAACTGGCCTTGGCCGTGGGCCAGGCTCCCTGGGGGCTCCAGAGAAGGGCAACCCAGGGACGATGTGAAGCGGCTCCCACACAGGCGAGAAATTGGGACTTGTCACTTAGCAGACTGTGCCAGCTGACAGGTGGCGGTTGAGGGATTGCGGGGGACGGGGCTGTGGAGGCAGGTGTCTCCAACAGTTTCGGGGGGGATGGCTCTTAAGGCAATGTGGGTTGGGCCCAAAACCATATAGAATCCTCTTGAGCTGGCACCGAGAAGCTCGGCATTTTCCAGCTCTCGCCTGAGAAAGGCGGGGGTTCCTGGAGTGGCGTGTTATTGCTCCACTTCAAATATTTCAAAGCCAGAATGTCATTCTAGAAAGTTCTGGATTAGAGATTAATTCCAAGCGGGGATAATGTTTGGGGGTATTACGGGTTTCAGTTGAGTATTTGGAATTAATATTTTTAATACAAGCCCGTTTGGAAAGAAAGGAAGCCCTGACCTAACTTTGTCACCTGGCTGTCCCCCTCCCCTGGCCACTAAAGCCCAGTGTGTGGGTTTCCTTTTAATGATTCGAATTGTCTGGGTCCAGACCAGTGGTTCTCAACCAGGGGTGACTTGGCACCCCTCGCAGGGACATCGGGCAAGGACTGGGGACATTTGTGGTTGTCACAACAGAGTGGGGGCTACTGCATTGAGCGAGGAGAGACCAGGGATGCCGCCAACATCCTACAATGCACAGGAGCCTACAGCCCCCCCGTCGGGGCGAAGCTGGGGGACAGTTCTGGGCAGCTTGAGGTCTCTGGTCAGTCCCACCAGCCCACTCCCCACCTTCTTTCATGTCATGGGGCTTAAAAATATGAAAAAGGGGAGTTTAGGGTAGGGAGGATGGAAAGAGCCTTTTCCCTCACATCTAAATGCTTCCATTTACATTCACGAAGGAGCAGCCGTCCGGGCTTTCTCTCAAGGGGCACGGCTGAGCACAGAGCCCTCCCTGCAGGCCGGAGGAGCCGTGCTAGTCGCTAAGTCAGTTTCTCAACACGATTTGTTGATTAACAAGAAGTCAAGCAGCTTCCAGCTCAACGTTTCAGCCACAGGGCTGTCACCTCCACCTGTCCTCTCACCGCATCCTCACAGCAGCCTACGGGGAGTTCCATCCTTATCCCCGTTGACAGATGACAAAAGCGAACCTCCGAGGGGTGACTTGCCAAGGCCCCAGAGCCACCGCTGGCTGGGCATTCTGACCCCGGGACCTGAGCCCATTGACGACGACCCCACACTGCCCCTCCCAGGGGGCCTCAAACTCTGCCCTTTGTCTGGGGCGGGTCCTGTCCCAGCTGGGATTACGGACCCAGTGGACACAGGAGAATGAGCCGTGCGGGACACAGAGGGCCCCACCCTGAAAGAGGTTCCCCAGGAGGGGGGAAGTGAATGAGCAGCACGGAAAACGGCCTTCAACCCTTGAAAACTCAAATCATTTAGGACTTACACAATTTAAAATTTTTAAAAGTCAAGGAGCGGGCCCCATGTAAAAGAGGAAGACCTGGGCTGGGGAGAAAATTCAATACAAGGAGTAATTTACATCTGTCCCAATTCTGTAGTTTCAGCCACAATTCTCAACTCATTACAGAGACCATCACTCACTCCCCATCTGAGGGTCACAGTCACGGAAACAACGTTAAGGTGATAGCTGCTTGCATTGAGCATTTACCGTGGGCCAACTGCTGGCAAATGCCATCTCTGTAATTCTTGCAGTAAGCCATGGGGCAAGGACTATGACTGGCCCTAATTTGCAGATGAGGAGACCGACGGTCAGAGTGGCTAAGGTCACACCCTGGAAAGCAGCAGTGGCTGGACTCCTGCCCAGGTCTGCTTGACCACAGTCTAGATGTGCACTGGGTTCCTCGAACCAGGAACCAAGGACTGGCACAGAAAGAGAAAGGTCAGCTGGGGTCTCTGACTCAGGCCCGCCTCCAACAATAGTGCCTGAACGTTCTCAGAGCCTTAAGGGAGCACAAGGCCTTGAAGACTCTGCAGAGCCCTGTGTACAGATGGGGAAGCTGAGGCCCCGAGCCAGGCCTGTTCCCTCCTGCCTGCACAGCACGACCACCGCATCAGAACTCGGTCCCTTTCATTCTCCCCAACTTCCTTGCCCCTGGCGCTCGTGTCTTTCCAAGTTCAGAAGGACCGTCTGTTTCCTACCCACCTAGGGAAGAAAACAGGCTTAGCCTAAAAGCCCTAGAGAAACCCACGTGTCTTGCCAGTCATCTCGGATGCCTTGCAAAGCTCGAGAAGGTTTCGGGCTTAAGGCTTCTTAGGAAAGGTCCACACCAAATAACTACGAATCACGTTTCCCTTCTTGGAATGGAAATTCAGCCTGCGGCCTGGATTAATAGCCCCACGTTTGAGAATTAAAGGGCTTGAGCACAGAAATCAGGTTGACGGAAGGGAGCCGACCAGTGTCCAGACAGGCCCCACGTGCACCTCTCTGGGCCCATCCGGGTTAGCTGTAAGTTTTACCAGGATCCTCCTGTTTCCCTTCTGACTTTAGAGTCGTTCAGTGGAGACGCCACGAGATTTGGTGTCCCGCCACCATCCATCTCCTCACCACTTCTCTAATTTCAGGTGGCCTGGGATGTTCTAAAATTGGTGAAAAGTCCCACCTCCTTCTGGGGACATTCCCCTCCCTGTCCCACACTCGTAGACCCCGCAAGTGACGCTGCACATGGTGGACACTGAGAGACGGCCTCGGGGACAGTGTCCACGGCCAGTCACGGGGCCCGGGGGGTGCTGCTCTCAGGGCCTGCCTCGCTCTCTCAGAAGGGTCTCATGCTCGGACGCAGTTATGTTCATCGCCCCATCTCAGGGTGGCCCTTCCAGTGAAGGCCCTCTCCCTTCTGTCCACGCTGCTTTCCACACATGGGATGACCATCTCAGGGATCAGGGAACACGCTGGAAAAGAAGACCCAGGATCCCCGTGTCCCTTACCGAGACCTACGTTATCCTGGGAACATTCTGGAGACCAGGCTGGAGAGCAGAGGCCAGCGGGCTCCTCTCAGCTGTTAGGGCCCCACCGGAGCCTCCTGGACACTGACACTTGCTGTCTACATAGAGTGGCCTTCTGCCCCAGAGAAAAAACTGTACACGGAAAAGCAAACCTAGCCGTGCTCCCAAACAAAACACTGTTCGGAACAGCAAAGCGTTCCCCCAAGGAGAGACACACTCAGGCCCCACGCAAAGCACCATACGAATTACGCCGGAGGCTGCCGGGGCTGTGTTCCCCTTCCCTGAGGATCCACCACGTGTGCTCACGGAGGCCCAGGCCTGGGGGGCCCAGCCGGGCCGCTCTGGTGACCCAGGATGGCACACTTGCTTTGACAAAGAGGCACCCAGTGGACAGTTCCTCTGCTTTCTCGGCATCTTACAGGGAAGGACACAGGAAGCCCAGGGGCCAGGGAGAGTGGCAGGGAAGGCCCTAGAACTGGGACCCCAATCTGAACCAATAGGCAAACCCTCTAGGAGGTTACCCGGCCAAAGAAGACTCAGAGGCCACTTCCATACACCCATAAAGCTTCCCTCTGGCCCTGGGGAGGCCCCTCTCTAACCCCCCCAACCTCCAGCCCCAGGCCTCCAAGCTCCCCACCTCCAGCAGCCCCCCAGAGCTTGCCCCGGAGCAGTACTCACATGCCCTGGTCCCCATACTGGTTGTAGAACTCCATATGACTGCACGCCTGGATCCAGCCGACCACCCAGGTCTCCTTCTTGGGGATCGGGGGCAAGACCACCTGAGCCGAGGCGCGGAAGTGGGGTGTCCGGTAGCGCAGCACCACGCTGGAGGACTCGTCGATGCTGGTGGGGATGGGGTCAATGGACGCCTTCACGTCCATCACCGTGATACCTTCCCGGAAGACTCTGCCTTTGCCCCCGATGCTCTGAATACAGCCCATGGCACACAGTACCGCTCTGATCTCCAGAGAAGGCCAGCAGTCCCAGAGAAAACTGGGCATTGAAAGGATGGAGGCCGCGGGACCCAGTGCAGACAGGACCGCTCTGCAATCTCAAAGCTCAAGACCGATATCCATAGGATAGAAAATTCAGCGAGCAGAGCGGCCGTGCATATCACGACCTCGGCCTGTTTATAAATAAGGATTTTGCTGCATTTCAAGAGCCCTGGGTTCTCTCTTCTGCTGCTGGCAGTGGACAAAAATCACCGATATTCTTTGGGTTAAAAAGAAAAGTTCGGAGGTTAATGGATAATCATGTTGCTGGACATCCAGCCCCTCCGTGCCTCACACGCGGGGAACGCGGTTCCGAGACGCTCCCTGAAGTCTTCGGGTGTCGGCGGCGCAGGGCGGCAGACACATAAGTGAGGGAGGCTCCGTCCCCTGCGCGGTGCCGCCCCGCTCGCCGCAGAAGACCGACTTCCTGCCCCTCTGCCTTCCGCACGCGCTCGGGACACGCGCACCGGCCGCTGCCCGTCCGGGCGAATCAATGGAAGAGCAGTTTCTGTTCGAGCGCGGAGGTCCCGGCGCCCTGGGGGGCGAGCGCCGACCCGCGGCTTCCAGGAGGCGAGCGCCGGGCTCGGGCCGCCCGCTGTGTCCCCGAGGCGCGCGGCGCAGCGCGGGTCCCCGTCGGCGTCCACTCGCGGGCGCGGGCTAACGCCCCCACGTGGACGCGCCGCGTCCCCTCGCCGCTGTCGCTGTCGCCGCCCGCCGCCGCGCGGGGCCCCGGAGCGGCCGCCGAGGACCTGGTGGGAGGTGGAAGAGACAGAGCGTCAAGGCCCGCCGCAAAGTTGAGCCGAACTTTGCTGCGGGGGGCGCGCGGGGCGGCGACGCGTGTGCGCCCAGCGCGGGCTGCGGAGCTGACGGCGCAGCTCTGGGCCGTCTCCCCGGAGGCGGCGGGTCCCCCCGCCCGCCCCGTCAGTGGCGGCCGCACGACCGCGCGCACCAGCGAATAATCGCCGCCCGTGACATCTCCGCTGACACCCTCCCGGCCCTGGGGCGGGGTGGGGGGGCGACCGGCTGGCACTGCAGTGGGCCACGTGGACTTGCCGGCCCTAGCACTGCCCCCACCGCCTCACCGCCGGCGCCGGCGCCCCTTCCCCAGCCGGGTCCCTCCGGCCCCCTGGGGGCGCAGTGCCACCCCGCAGGCCGGTGTGATCGGGCTCGCGCCCGTTCCGGGGCCGGGATCCCCCGACCCCAGCCCCGCCGCGTCGGGCGCCTCGGTCCCCCCTCCGCCAGTCCCTAGCGGCCCCCAGGTCCCCGCGCGTCGGGCGCGCTCGCCGCGGCCGGGCAACTTTGGCGCGCACGCCCCCACCCGGGCGGCGCCACCGACTCACCTGCCCCTCGGGCCGCTCTGCGTGCCCCGGCCGCCGCCCTCCGGACGTCCCTGACCCTGCCGCGGGCACGTCCTCGGGGCGCCCCCACTCCCTTCCCCGGGTAGTGTCCTTTGGCTCTACTAGGGTCTGAGGCCGGCGCGGGCGCCCCCAGCCCCCACCTCCTCCTAGCTCAGGACTGCTGGGGGGTGGCTGGGGGCGAAGGGGTGAGGCTCGGGGCTCTCTCGCCCCCACCCCGCGCGTCTCCTTTATTTTATGATCATTGTGAGCGTGCTGTCGCCCTCAGCCCCGCCGCCGCGCCGCAGCCGCCTGGCGCGCCCCGCGCCTCCTCGCTCTGCTGCGGCATCGGAAAGGCAACCAGGTCAAACTTTGCAGAAACTCAGCCCCTGCGCCGGCCTGGCCCCGCGTCCGCCCGCAGCCGCCAGCCGGAGCGCAGCGCGCAGGGACCGCCGCCCGCTCGCCGGCCCCGCGGGGCTGCAGGTCTGCAGGCGGCGGCGGCGGGCGGGCGGGCGCCGCCTCCTCCTCGCAGCCGGCCCTGCTCTCCACCCTCGCTCCCCGCACACAGCCCGCCCTCCCCCTGGTAATCCTCTCCCCCTCTCCCCCCTCTCTGTCCCCTCTCTCTGCAGCTGCTGGGGAGCTGAGCCTCTCCTTGCACAAACGACATTTCCTTTGTAGCTAGCCTCGGGAATTCTGGGTAGTGTAGTTCGGCTTCTGTCTCGGGTCCAGGTGGGCTGCTCCTCGTGCCCTTTGAACTCAGCAGGCTTTCCCGAGCTCAGAGCACGCTCTGCCATGGTACTTCTGTCCGCGGTGGGGTGGTGGCTTGGTGGAAACAGTGCAGGGGCGCTGGGAGGTACCAGGACTGGGAAGGTGGGGGTGGGGGAGAGAAGTTTGAGGGGACAGGTCCCTGTGTTGCTCCCTCCGAACTGGGCCTCTGGGTACCCCGATAAGTGGTCAGGCCTGTTGGGCCCCGAATGTGACCAGCGAGATACAAGCTCATCGTTTCATCCACCATCAGCCACCTTGTGTAGGAGGTCTGTTATGTGTATTTCACAGAGCAGGAATCCAAAGCTGGGAGACTCAAAGACTTGCCCCAAGGCCCCAGCCTGGCAGGTGTCGCAGCTGAGACTGGGACCCTGGTGGTCTGAGTTCAGAGATTCAAAAGGGGTTTGACCCTGACTGCAGGGTGATGGCTGGGAACCTCTCTAAGCAGCCAGTGGCCCCACCCCCACCTTGCAACTACACCCCAGGGAAAGCCTGAGTGGTTTGTGACATGAGAAAACCTGGCAGCCACAGGACAGCCATGCCCTCCCTCCTTAACTCTGACTTCCAAAGGTGCCCACAGCCCCGCACAGGACAGGTGGTTCTGGCCACCCCCAAGCCAGAGCATCCTGTGAGCCAGTGAGGACAAGGGCTGGAGGGGGAGGGACTGGCCACTTGGAGGTCTCTGAGCGATGATCAGCCTGGCCAAGTGAGCCATCTCATACCAGCATCAGCTCAGGCCACAGGCAGGAAGTGGTCACTGCCTTGTCCCCAGCCACAGCCCTGCCCTCACCCCGCTCGCTGCCATGGCCCTGCACCCAGCCTAGCAAGGACTCGTCCCTTTCGAGTCCAGCTAGTAGGCAGCTTATTTCTAGTCCCACTGACTGAGACCAAGGCGGGGTGGCCCCCATGACCTGTTTACTGCCCCATGGTACAACCCTAGACAGCACAGGTCTCCTACCCACCCCATGTGAATTTCCATTTCCAGGAAGAAGGCTTCCCTGGCCTCTTAACCCACTGTAGCCTCTCCCTGGCGTGAACTCATGGCCCCCCCAAAGTATTGTGCCCTCCTGGGATTCACTATGGCCTTCCACACCTCCTTTGCCATCAGGTAATTATTAGGCTATTCAGTTTATATATAGGTAAGATATTAACTTTTAGGGTATCCATCTCATCTCCCAACCCCTGTCACCTCCACTGCCTGGAACAGAGCAGACCCCATTGACCAGGATGCTCCTGAAGGGCAGGGATGCCATCCTGGCAACAAGGATGTGGGTGTGCCACAAACATGTGCCAAGCTGCACATCTTTCTCATTTGATGTGAAAAGAACAGGAGCCAGGGCCCTAACCTGCCTCACTCAGTGGCCAAGTTGCTGGGGATGGATCGCCTCCGTGTCCGTTGGAAGTGATGTTACTCGCCTCAGCCCTGGGCTTTGCCTGGGTTTGTGACAGTAATGCTGAAGCACCTGCTGTGTGTCTGGCGCTGCCTGAGCGAACGCTGTCTCCTTTACCCTTCACCTTGACCGCGGGAGGTGGGCTGTACAGAGAGACCCAGGGGTCAGGGAGAGAGAGGGGTGGGAGAGATCAGGCAAACCCAAAGCCCACACTCGGCTCCTCCTCCAGGCCGCCACCCTGGCTAGCTGGGCCAGCCCCTCAGAGCCGGGACGGACCTGACACTAGAAAGCCCTGTCTCTGGTAAGTCCTAGCAGAAGCCGTGCTCAGGTGCCTGCAGGGTGGGAAGACGCCCCTCCCTAACCTCGGCCCCAGAGCTGCCTCCCCTTCTGCCTCACCCCTCTCCAGTGTTTTGTCTCGGGCTAGTTGGAGGGCTGGTCTGCAGGAGGAGGCCCAGGCAGCGTCCGTGGGCCTGCTTGCCGGCCCCTGAGCTGGGAACTGGCTCCCCCAGGGCCAGCCCTGACCGATGGAGGGTCTGCTTGGGCTCGGCTCACGCGTGCATTCCGTCCCAGCTCCTGATGAGTCTTCAGGGCTCTGGCTGCCTGCCCAGCTCTCAGGCCCCTCTGCCCTCCTGCCTCCCCACGCAGCCCTTCTTCCTGCTCAGCATTTTCTGGAGCCCTGTGGGTGTTGGGCACAGACCCACAGCTGTCTCAGCATATGTAGAAGGCCCACGATGCGTCCACATGAGTGTGAAGTGCTGGCATCTGCCAAACAGAGGAAAGGGGCGGCTGTTTGACATGCCCAACACCACAGGGACACACACTGCCCCCCAGACCCCTCCCCTCCCCCAGAACTCGGTCTCCGCAGACTCCTCTGCTGTGACGTCACCAGTGACGGGGACAGTGGAAGGGTCAGCCCCAACCCCCGCCTGGAGACGGTGAATCCTCAGTATGACAACTTGGAAGCTCAAAGTGTTGTCAGTGGGAGAACAAGGTCCCTCAACTCCCCGCACATGGCCCAGAGAGGTCCTGAAAACACAGACACACAACAAATCAGAGTAGAAACAACATGACCCCATTCACCAGGGTTTTAACACGCAGCCCCAAACGAGTCGAGAGCCCTCCCAGGTCTGCGGAAAGAGCGGATGCAGCTTCTCCTCACTGAGCATCCCTGTGAGGCAGGGCCTTCGCACACGTCATCTTCTCGGCCCTCCACAGTGACCCCTGTGCTGGATCCTATGACGACCCCATTCTACAGATGACACTGAGGCCTGGGGAAGAGGGAGCGTGGGTTGAACCCGGCAGCCTGGCTCTGAGCCCCGGAGGCTGGTGGTTTGTGGCAGCAAGTGCTCTCACCAGCATTCCCTGCAGTTGAAGGGACCTTGTTTTCAGAGGCCAGTGGAGACAGTATTCAGGCTTCTTCCCCCTCATGGACCAACCTGCATCTCAAGGCTGCAGCTGGTCCTCCAAGAGCTCTCGGCCTCCACGGGTGTGTTTATCATGAGACCGCAAAGGCATTTCACCGAAGGGAGAAGCCTTGTTCTGCAGATGGAAATGTTAATGCTGGAATTCTGTTGCCCCGGGAGACGGGGTTCTCTCCGAAACTGTTTGGGACCAGACTGGAAGCCAATGGGTGAGGCTTGGAATGTCCACCTGGGAGTTGGGTGGGCAGGGCCGGAGGGCTAGGCGGTGGCTTGGGGGTGGGGGCGGGGGGCGGGCAGCAAGAGGCAAGGAGGCTGCAGGGCCCCCCTGGCGTCACTGATGCGCCTCGCTTCTGCAGGGAGCAGGCTCAGCCCGGCCAGGTTAGCGCAGACGGGACCTTGGAGAGGGCTGGCCCCACAGCCTCCCCTGCAGATGGGGAACACAGGCCTAGCGAGGTCATCCAAGGAGGACTCTGGGACTGGCACCCAGGTCTCATAACCCCCAGATGAGTGACGACGTCACTCTCCATTGAGGGGTAGTGGCCTGTTGTTGGGAATGGCTGTGTGGCTCAGGGCACTGGGGCGGCCACAAATCTGGAAGCTCAGGTCTTCTTGTGACCCTGGCCACAGGGTCAGAACCATGTTTCTCCCAGGCTGTGCAGGGCTTGGGACTTCTCAGCTGGCCTCCCCATCACCCACGCATGCATGTGTTCCTTCCCCAGTATTGACTGGGCAGCTGTGCTGGGCTGAGTACTCAGGAAACACTGGAGAATGCAGCCAGGGCTGCGACAGACAGGTGTGGTCCCTGCAGCCCTTACATCCCCGTGCGCCAGAGCGATGTCAGGGGATAACTCCAGGAATGATCGGTGGAGGTATTAATTAATATAAATAATAAATAGGTACAATTCATACTCAGAACGGTTACGAGTATGTATCGATTGCTATAAATCAGGGCGCGTACAAGGAAGTCCCTTTGGTGTGTGCGTGTCCAGTATCGAGCTTGGGGAGGAGAGGGCAGAGGAGGCGTGTTCCGGGGGGGAGTGTGATGGTGTGTGTGAGTGAGCATATCACAGGTTAGAGTGTGTGAGTGAATGTGCGACGGTGTGAGTTTGTGTGTCTCTGTGTGTGAGGGTATATGTGACAGTTGTGTGTAACTATGTGTGAGGTCGGTCCAAAAGTAAGTGTATATGCCCATGAGTGTATGCTGTGTGTCTGTGAGGGCATGTGTACATGTGTCCATGGGGGTACATGTATGAGGTGGGTGATGGTGTGAGTGACCGTAAGAGATGTGGGTGTAGATGAGTGTGTGCATATTGTGTATGACAGTGTGTGCTTTGTGTGAGGGTCTCTGTGAGAGTGTGTGAATGCATAAGGATGTGTCAGAGCGTGTTCCGGTACTGTGAGTGTGTGTCGGTGTGAGTGTGCGTGATGGTGTGTGTCTGAATGTATGTCTGTGAAGATCTCTATGAGCGTGTGTGTCTATGGGTGAGGGTGAGAGGATGTGGATCTGAGGGTGCATGTGTGGTGGTGAGTGTGCATGAACACATTTGTGGGTGTGAGTGGGTATATTTGAGTGTGTGCATGTCTGTGTCTGTGCCTGTGGGTGTGTTGGGTGTTCTTTCAGGGAGGGGCGGGGTATGGTATCTAAGGTCCCCGCGGGATGCAGATTCCGATGGCGGAATCGAGGTCCCTAAGGACGGGGGACGGGCTGCTTCTCCCAGCCTCCCACAAGGGCGGTCCCTACTGGGCCCCGTCGCCTCCCGCCGCCTGCTCTCTCTGCCCCCCTGGCCCGGCCGCCCCATCGGAGCCTCCAGAGCTCCAGTTCTGAGCGCAAAACGCCTTCTCCTCCCCGGACGGCCTCTCCAACGCACAGCTGTCCCCCCAGAGCAGGAGCTGAGCTCGGCGGCGCCCCGAGGCCAGGCGGCGGGAGCTGCAGCGCCCACAGACCCGGCCCGGGCACCGGCGGGGCTGAGGATCCCTCCGACGCGGGGGGACGCGCCGCCGCCCCCGGAGGCTGCTCCGGCCAGGCCCGCGCCCCGCCGCCCGCCGCCCGGGGAGCACCGAGGCGGCGTCGCAGGCCGGGCGCGGCCGGGGATCGGGTGCGGCACTGGGAGTTCTCCAAGGTGCTAAAATAAACCCGGCGGCGGATCAGGTTTCCCGACCTAAATAACCCGGGAGCGGCCTTGGACGTGCGAACCGAGAAAGCCGTCAGGGGCGGGAGCGCCTGCGGGGGGAGGAGGGGATGGAAGACACTTTCCTCGGGGCTCCCTCCCACTCCTGGCGGGGGACCCCGCCCCTCCCCCTCCCTCCTCTCCCCTCCAGCTGTGCGTATCCGCAGCTGCCGCCCCAGAGCGGAGCTCCGCACACACTCTCCTCCCCTTCCCTTCTGGGGTCATTATCTCGAATAACCGGCCTCCTCTTGGCCTGGTCTTTGATAGCGAGGTTTGCGGTAGATTAGAGGCCAGGCTCAGGAATCAGTCATTTATTCATTCAATAGCTATTTATTGAGTGCCTTCTATGTGCCAGGCACGGCCGAGGCACCTGGTCCCATAAGCCAGCGAATAGACAAGAGTCCCGGCCCTGTGGGCTGACACTGCTAGAAGGACACAGGCCAGGAACACATACACAGTGTGGCGTGTTAGAAAGGATACAGGCTGAAGGAAAAAAGGAAAAGAGCAGAAGAGGAAAGGAGTATCGGGCTGTTGTTTCAATCCAGGGGCCCCGCTGGCTCCCTCGACGGCCCGGATGGAATTCCTTCACCTTGACTTCAGTGTTCTCATGTGTGTGTAGACGGAAAGCCTGCCTATGAAGCTGCTGTGACCAGTTAACATGGAGACGTAGGGACGTGCGCTTTGCTCTGAGTCTGGCAGAGCAAGTGTTAAGAACAAGTTAATGAGAAATATGCTTATTAATATTAGTAGTAAATCTATCTTAAAGACTTAAAGACAACAAATAGCAAGTGTCTACGTGCACAGACTGCTCTAGATCCCACGAAGCTGCCAGAAAACCTCTCTTGATCTCAATAAGAGGGAGGCCGAGTACGCAAGTGTTTAGGGCCAAGGACTTCTGGCTGAGACTGCAATCTGAATCCTGGTCTGCCTCTTAGCAGCTGTGGGTCCCGGCAAGTGACCTCACTTGGCACCCCGCCCCTCTCTCGGCGATGGACAGAGCTGGAACAGGAAGGTTACGTGGATAAGGCCAGGTGGGGCAATGGTGCAGGGGCGGCCAGGTGGTCTGCGGGCATGGGGCCACCTCAGAGTCATCCTTGCCCTTCCCACTGGTCCTTGCATGGGGCCTAGCACACAGCAGGCCTCAAGAAGTGTTCCAGGAATGGGCAGGTGAGTGAGTGAGTGACATAGGAGGCCAACCAGGCAGGGAACAGAGAAGCTGTGGGACACATGGCCAGGAAGACAGCCCACAGGCTCAGAGTTAAGGGACCAGCCGGCCCATGTCCCAGATCTGGCCCTGACCAGCTGCGTGGCCTCACAGGTGATGTCACACTCTGGGCCTGCTCTTCCTCATCTCTAACGTGGGAAAAGGGTGGGTGGACTTGCCCTGAAGTATCTTTGATCCCATCAGGCTCCCCCAGGCCTGGGTGCTGCAGTAAGCCGCTCAGGTTGGCCCATCAGATCTCATGGGGGTGCCCCCGAGCACACTGTTTTATTCGGCACTTGCCACTTTAACCACTTATTTATATTGTGCTTTAGAACATGGGGTGTATATGCAAGGATGGCCATGGCAGAATAGTTTTGAATAGTCACAGAAGAGGAACAATCTACATATCCAGCAATGGGGAATGGCTTATATAAAGCATGGCCCATCCACATGACAAAGTGCCAAGGAACCATCAAAAAATGATGGGTTGTCATGGAAACATGGCCAGGTTTATAATAAGTGAGAAGCATGGGTTATTTTTTTTTTAAGGTTGGCCCCGAGCTTATATCTGTTGCCAATCTTTCTTTTTTCTTCTTCTCTCCAAAGCCCCCCAGTACATAGTAGGTCCTGCTAGTTCTGCTATGTGGGATGCCGCCTCAGCATGGCCTGTCAAGTGGTGCCATGTCCACGCCCAGGATCCAAACCAGTGAAACCCTGGGCTGCCGAAGCAGAGTGCGTGAACTTAACCACTCGGCCACGGGGCTGGACCCCAGGATTGGTTGTTTTTTTAAAGCGTGTATAATGTGACCATATTTTTAAATGCATATTTGTATATTTATACAATACATATAGATATAGTTTGTTTAATATATATTGTTCCTGATTATTTAATACTGGGTTGTTGTAAAATATTTTGATAAGTGGAACTGAAACAACTGAGCATCCCTTTGCACCCTGACAGCTCGCGGGTTGACAGTGGTGGTCTCTGGGCAGTAGCATTAGACCTATATCATCCATATTTATTGAATTTATTGCAGTAAGCATGTAACACTTTGGCAGTAAGAAAAAATAAAGCTATTGGTAAAATTATACTGTTTCATAAACTGGCTAGTTATTTCGTGGGTGTGTATCCTATCTCTCCAACTAGGCTGCAGGAAGAGATCAACGAAAGCATTGATTCAATGAATGAATGCACTCTCAGGCTCTTGAGAAGGGAGACCGTGTGGCCTGTGGTAGGTGCTCCTAAAGGGACGGGGCTTGCTTTTCCGCTGCCTGAGAATGTGAACACGGTAACCCCCCTTACAGGGGGAAGAGCAGGTCTCGGTCTGAGCCCTTCACACTGTCTTCTCACCAGCCCTCTGGGGGGAAACAGAGGTCAGAGGGCAGGCAGGACTTGCCTGCAGTCACTCAGCTAGAGGTGGCTGAGCCAGAGTTTGAACGTGGGGCTGTCCCACTCCAGAGCCCATTCTTAACCACTCCTGGGCCAGAGGCCAATCCGACTCCATGGCCTTCCCCAGTGTGGAGCCCACTGTGGCCCTCAGAACATGCTGGCAGCTCTGGCCAGACCAAGATGCTGACACAGCCGTCTGGGTATTAATAGCCCCTATCTAGGCTGGGCTCTTGTGCCCCTCCTGAGGTCATCCCGGGTCATGGGCCCCACCTAGGGAGAGTGGGGTGATACCCTGGTGGAGAGGTGAGCAAGAATGTCTAGGGCCCTGTGACCCAAGGAATACAAGTCTGGAGGCCCTCATGTCCCACCCCAGGGACTGCTTGATCTCCCCTCCTTTGGGCCTCCCAGCTGGAAGCCTTTGATACTCTGAGCCTTAGCTTCCTCCTCTGTACAATGAGGATGACAGCACGACTTCACAAGAAGGTTGGTTCTATGGGGTCAAGGAGCTAAAGCCCATGGAGAGCTCAGTACACTGTCCGCTATCCGGGCCTTCTGTGCACGTCTTCACGCACATCTGTCCAGGGTCCGGGATGAGGGAGCACAGGCCATCATGGCTACACCCAAGAGGCAGGATGTGCATGTGACAGTCTGGGACATCCTCCTCTGTGGCTGTGTGGTCTGAATGGAATACTCTGGAAGAGGCATGCCAGGGGATCTGCAAGGAAATAGGACTGAGGGCTCCTGGAGTCTGGCTTCACTCCAGCCAGGTATGGGGTGGGGGTCAACCATGGGGGTGGGCCCTTCTGAAGGGGGCACTCAGAAAGGAGAGAGGACTGGCCCTCATTCGTTAAATGGAATCAATTCCTAACCAGTAGGGTGGAAGGCTCACCATGTGGCAGGAACCCTGCTCAGCACTTTACAAACATCATCTCGGTGACCTCACCACAACGCTTGGAAAGTGGACCCTATTATTCTCATATTACAGGTGGAAAAACCAAGGCCCAGAGAGGCCAAGTGACTTGCCTAAGCTCCCACAGCTAGTTGCTGGTGGAGCCCCAGGTCATCCCCCATCTCTCTGACCCTGGAGCCCATGGCCGGTCCCCTGTGGCCAGAGAGCACTAACCCCCACCACAGGGAGCTTCCTGTTCTTGGGAGGCTGTGGGGTGGGCCTGGGTCTTCACTGGTGGGCTCCATGATTGGTAGGGCAGCTGCGTCCTCCTGCCTCCATCCCGGCTGGGCAGACGGCCTCGGCTGACCTGAATGGTGAGACCAGGGCATTCACTCCTAACTCTTCTGGTCACTATCAACCAGTGGCCTCATCCTCAAGCCCAGGCCAGGCAGCCCTAGAAGGAGCGTAGGGACTTAGGGTGCCTGCAGTCGCCCAGGTGGGTGCAGCGAGGCTGGACTCAAAGCCCGAGTCCTCACCTGGCCCTCCTGGTCTGCCCTCTCTGGGTTTGCAGCCTCTCTGGCCCCCTTCACTACGTGCACCCGCCACACGGGCCTCTCAGGCCTCACGTGGAGCAGGTTCTCCCCCACCTGGGGCCTCCCACCTGTTCCTCCTTCCTGGGGGAAGCCCTCCACGCCTCCCAGGCTGGCCCCAGGGCCCTGGTTCTGCAATCCCGCCACACGCCTGCACATTTGCAATCATTGACGTGTGTCATTTGTTTACTCCCCACTGCACTGTGGGTTTCCAGGGACAGGGAGGGAGTGTCTCGTTCGCTGCAGTAGCACAGGCACCCAGCCCGGCGCCAGGCTCGCGGGAACTATTTCTGGGTTGCCTGAAGCTGCTGTTGTGCTCCTGTCCTTCACAAACTCCGGGCGATGGAGGCAACCTCCAGGGGACAGATACACAGACACTGATTCATTACCCCTCCCTCTCCCAGAAATCAAATCTTACAGATGGCCGCGGGATGGGACTGTGGTGCCTTGGAGACAAATTCAGGACTGATTAAAAAAAAGAAAAAACCCAGCTTGCCAGCTTAATGAAATGCTGTCACAGAGGGGAGGAGCTGGGCCTGGCCCCAGCGGACCCAAGATGATGCTGTCAGTGACGTCATTCACTCCATCTGCTGTCTGGAGAGGCCTTTGCCCTGCACTCCACTGTCCAGTCCGTGGGGCCGGGTCCAAGCTGCCCAGGCCAGTGGGGCAGGCAGGCCTGGCTCTCAGGGGTCTGGACTGGTCAGAGGAAGCTGGTAACAGCAGGAGTCAGTCTGGGGCCCACGTCTGGGGCTCTGGCTGGGGGCACAGTGAGGCCGGGGCAGCAGCTGGACTACATTTCCCAGAGTCCTTCAAAGCCCAGGAGTGAGCCATTGGAAGATTTAAATAGCCCAGGCCCGAGGCAGCCAGGCCGCAGCTGTGGACTCGTCCGCCTCCCCGGTGGCTCCATTGGTGCTGGCCCACACTGGTGGGCTCGATTGGCTGCCCAGCTGGCACTGACGTCCCCTTGGAGCCTGGTGGCAGCCGGAGGTAAACAGCCATGTGCAATCCTCCGCTCTATATTTAACAGCGGCCGCAGAGAAGACAGGGAGGCAGGGAGCCGTGGCAGCTCTGGGATAGCTCGTCTTCGGGGAGAAGGCCCTGCTGCCGGCTTGGCACCGGCCCTCACACTGTGAGCGTCACCATGCCAGCCTCCCAGAGCCGGGCCCGCGCCCGGGACCGCAACAACGTCCTCAACCGGGCCGAGTTCCTGTCCCTGAACCAGCCCCCCAAGGGCGCCCCGGAGCCCCGCAGCTCGGGCAGGAAGGCCTCAGGCCCCTCGGTACAGCCCCCAGGCCCTGGGGACGGGGCCCGTGAGCGGCGCCAGTCGCAGCAGCTGCCGGAGGAGGACTGCATGCAGCTGAACCCCTCCTTCAAGGGCATCGCCTTCAACTCCCTGCTGGCCATCGACATCTGCATGTCCAAGCGGCTGGGGGTGTGCGCCGGCCGGGCCGCGTCCTGGGCCAGCGCCCGCTCCATGGTCAAGCTCATTGGCATCACGGGCCATGGGATCCCCTGGATTGGTGGCACCATCCTCTGCCTGGTGAAGAGCAGCACGCTGGCTGGCCAGGAGGTACTCATGAACCTGCTTCTGGGTGAGTGCGCCCGCCGCCCGCCACCTACCCGCCAGGCTCTGGGAGGGAGCCCGCCCCGCCCTGGCGAGGACCAGTGGGGCCCTCAGAAGCTGACTGGAATGATCTAATGAGGTTAGGCAGGAAGGGTGCTCCAGAAATAGGCAAGCCTCTGGCTTGGGGAAGAGAGAACCAGGGATGCACAGACAAGGGCCCCCTGTAAAATGGGGGCCTTGAGAATGGGGAGACGCTGTGGGAACCCCCGAGAAAGGGCCTTGCTCTTGGCAAAGTGCACCATGGCCCCAGAGGCAGCTTGGAGGAAGGCTGGGGGCTGGAGGCAGTGGCCTGGAGGGAGATGGCCTGGGGTCTGGTGGGGTTCCTGGAGCGGGGTATCTCACTGTGTAACTCCCACCCCATGGTCTGGGGTCCTCGAGGTCATCGGCCACTTGCAGGCAGTGCAGGTGTGCTGCCCCCATGCCCTCCTGCTCAGTTCAAGGACCCTGCAAACTGCCCAGGATTCTCCCATAGGGCCTGGGGGTGCAGGGGGTCCGATCTGGGGCTCCCACCCACTCGTGGCCTCCTGGAGGACTTATCTGCTGTTTCCCCAGGTGAGTCTCCAGCGGAGAGGGCCCAGTGAGCTGGTCCTTTGGTTTGTTTTTCCAAAGTCTTTGCCACCAGTGTCTTTTAGTTGAGCACTGCCCTGTGCCAGGTGCCACGTGGGACCCATGTGGAAGGCGGGCCCTCACCTCCCCCTGGCCCCCGGCCGGTCCACCCTCCAGCACCTCCAGATCCCCCAGGTGCTCAGGGAACCTCTGCCTCACCCTCCATGCTGGGCCCACGTTGATCCCCTCGCCCTTCCTGGCATGGCCACCATTTGGGGTGCAGGTGGGCAGGGGTCTCAGACACAGCAAACACTGGCAAGGGTCCTGGTTCCTCAAGGGCTGTGGGTGGGACCACTGAGAACTGCGGTCCCAGAGGAAGTTACGAGGACATGTGTCTCCCCACTCGGGTCTCAGGGAGAGTGGGGCTGGACGCTCCGCGGGTAGGCCGGGGGAGGAGGAGACGGCGGGGTCTGGCACCGTCGATGTGTTCTCGTTCTTACTACTCAATTATTCACATCACGTGACTTGTTATTTAGCCCAAATCAATGGTCCCACATGACGAGGGCTGTTGACATTCCCACTTTACAGGTTAGGAGACTGAGGCTCCGGGAAATAAAGCCACCTGGCCCGGGCTTCGGAGCTGGAGGTTTGTACCAGGTCCGCCTCACATCCAGGCCTGTGCTCTTTCCAGAGGCTGTGCCGTGGGCTTGGGAGGGAGACAGAGCGAAGTGGCTGAGGCCCTGGGCCAGCGGCTTCTGGGGGCAGAACCTGCTCTATTATCTGAGGTTTCCCCGCTGTAGCTCCACACACAGCAGTGGCTCAAGAATAGCCTGCTGCAGGTTAGGTGGCCTGATGTCAAAGGTTGTCCCTCTCGTCCCGCTTCCTAGACCCCGTCTGCACGTCCCTCCTGTGTGACGGAGGTGGTGAGGCGGGACTCGTCCCTCGTCCAGTCTTTACGATGTGACCGGTTCTGTATAAACCACATCATCACTTCAATCCTCCCCACAAGAGAGAAGCTGCTATCCTGCCCCACTTAAAGAGGGGAAACTGAGGCATGGAGAGATGACTTGCCCCCGTCCTCCAGCTACTGGGCGGTGGGGCTGGGATCAGAACTGGGAGAATTGTACCTTGTTGAGATGAGGTTTCTGGCCCGTTCCAGCCACCAGCTGCTGTGGCACAAAGTGTTTGCTCCGTGGGACAAAGAACCAGATTCAAGTACCTCCCTTCCTGAGTGAGAATGACAGTCACTGCATGTTTCTAAAAACATCATTTATTGGGCTTTATTATGTACCAGATACGATGCCATGAATGTCCCATATTGCATGATTTTAAAATCTTTTTAATGACCCTATGAGGTTAGTATTAATACACCCATTTTACAGATGAGTTAACTGAGGCGCAGAGGGACTTGCCCGTCCCACACAGCTGTAGGTGGCCAGTCCAGGAGCCAAATCCAAGTCCTCGGGCTGCAAACCCCTCGCCTTCGGCTCGCCGCCATCTGCCGGCCAGGTGGACGGCCCATTTCACAGAGAGACCATGGAGAGATGAGGGCCTGGCATGAGGCCGCTCAGAGCAGGCAGGGTGGTCACTTCGTGGGGATGTGGCCCCAGCCCCTCCGCTTCATGGGAGAAAGCTGCGCCAATAGCCCAGGCGGGCTCTGAGCCCACAGCTCCGGCCCGACCCCCCAGGCCGGGCTCCCGGAGCCGTTCTCCACCTGCAGAAAACAGACCATCCGCTGAGCACCAACTGCAGGGTCCTGTCTGTCCTTTAGTCTTGGGGGGACCTGGGGGCCTTGCAACCCTAGAGTGCAGGCTCTGCAGTCCGAGTGGGCTTTGTCCAGATCCTTGCTCTGACCCTTACTTGCTGTGTGAGCTTAGTCAAGACACTTCCCATCTCTGAGGTTCAGTCAGCTTCCTGATCTGTACCTGGGGCCTCAGGGCTCTGGTGGGGACTCACAGGGAGCCGGGGAAGCACATGGCACAGTGGGTGGCATGTGGACATGCCCCGGGGGATGGCCGACACCACTGTGGTGGGAACTGTAGGACCTGGGTAGGGGGGCGGTGAGGGAGCCCTGCCCGGCCCAGCCACTTCAAGCACCAGGGCACCCAGCAATTCCTGGGGGCAGTCTCTGGGCCGGAAGTAGAGGCCTCCACCTGTCCAGTTGGGGCCAGGGCTCCCGTTGGCCCAAAAGGGGCAAAATCAGGAGCCTTGGGCAATGGGAGCTCCAGCCCCTGAGCCTGGAAAGAGTCCCAGCTGGGCCAGGAGGAAGCTGTCTGCACTGCTCCCTGGGTCCCCTCCCCCAGGGCATGCTGCCCAGCCTCTGGAAACCTTAATGCCAGGAGGGGTCTAAGCAGCTGGCAAAAGCTTGGGCTCCAGAGTGGGCCAGACCTGGGTGCAGTCCCAGCCCTGCTGTGGGAACTCGGGCAAGTGACTGTGCCTCTCTGAGCCTCATTTTCCTCATCTGTCAAATGAGTTGCTGGGATGCTTCATTGCAGAGTTATACACACTGCTGGACAGACACTCATGCCAGGTAGCGCTCGTGTGGCCGTGATCGTCACCGTCACTGCCGTCACCATTATCGAAAGAAGTGCCAGGTCCAGCCTCCCTCCGGATCCCCTCCAAGCTTTAGACACCTGTGAGATGACCTGGTCCCCTCCTCCGCCCCTCCCCTGCAGCCCCCGGCTGGATGATTCCAAAGGGAGCCAGGTGGCAGGTGACGCAGGCCCATGCCTGTTCACCAAGCCCATCCTGGCTTCCTCACGAGCATGTCCTTGGTGGAAACGGCCTCCGGGTCTTCTTGCCATGATCTATAAAAGTCTCTTTATGGAGATTTTCCTGCTTATGAAAACTAGACACTCTTCTTTTTCTATGTCACTTTGTTTATTGTGGTAAACTATACGTAACATAAAACATCATTTTAACCGTTTTTAAGCACACAGTTCAGGGGCATTAAGCACATTCACATTGTTGTGCAGCCATCACCACCATGCGTCTCCAGAACTTTCCCATCTTCCCAGACTGAATCTCTGTCCCCATCAAACACTCACTCCCCATCTCCCACCCCCCTGGCCCCCGCCATCCTCCTTTCTGTGTCTATGAATCTGACTACTCTAGGGACCTCACATAAGTGGAATCATCCAGCGTTTGTCCTTTCGTGTCTGGCTTATTTCAATTGGTGGCACAATGTTCTCAAGCTTCATCCATGTTGCAGCAGGTGTCAGAATGTCCTTCCTTTTTAAGGCTGAATAATGTTCTATGGTGTGGATACACCACATTTTTTTTTATCCGTCATCCCTCCGTGGACACTTGGGTTGCTTGCACTGTTTGGCTATTGTGAATGATGCCGCTATGAACACGGGGGCAGAAACACCTGTTGGAGTCCCTGCTTTCACTTCTTTTGGATATATACCCAGAAGTGGAATGAGTGGGTCAAACGGTAACTTTATGTTTAACTGTTTGAGGAAGCTCCGTACTGTTTTCCACAGCAGCCACCCCATTTTACATCTCCACCAGCAGGGCACAAGGGTTCCCATTTCTCCACATCCTCGCCAACACCTGTTATTGTCTGAGTTTTTGATCATAGCTATTCTAATGGGTGTGAAAGTGGTACCTTGTTGTGGTTTTCATTTGCATTTCCCTAGTGGTCAGCGGTGTTGAGCACCTTGTCATTACGTTCTTATAGGAAAGAAAATCTCAAACGTTACAAGGACAGATCATGGAAAAGTGAGCATCTCCCTTTGACCCCTCCCAAGGAGTAATCTCTGTTGCAGTCTGGGTCACTGGCCTCTGGATTTTTCTCTGTGCACAGACTACATTATCACGTGCTTCTAAAATGACCTGCAGGGTTTCACCCAGCGCCACCTGGTTCTCACAGGCCGTGATGGACCTGCTGGGCTGTGCACTTCCGGTTGGAATCCTGGTCTCGGCCCCACACGTCCATTCACATCAAGCGTGAGGGGTTCAGACGCCAGAACCAGCCTCCTCAATCTTGCGGCAACGCCGCGCCCCCCCACAACCACCGACCCGCCCTCCCTGCAATGGCTCGCTTCTCCGCCCCCCCCACCCCTGCATATAATCTATTCTGTCAGCTCTCCCACCCCGGTCCACTGGCTCCTGTTCCCTGGGACAGCCTAGGCGACAATCCGTCCACTAGGCAGGCATAGCCTGTCCCTAATTGATGGATATTTAGACTGACCCCAGCCTTCACTGTCAGGAACCCTCCTGCTGCAGACGCCCGCTCCGCAGAGGCAGAACGTCCCTCCCCTTCCCCGTACCCTTCTCCCAGCTTCACTTCTCATCATCTCAGTGGGGCTCAGTGCTACCGGCGGCCCCTCCGGGGGCCCTTGGCTGCCCCCCGCCCGGGTCAGGGCCCCCTCATGCACTGTCATGGCAGCCGCCCTTGCAGCTAACACAAGAAATGAA